CGAAAAATAAAAATCCGCCAAACACAGAAACTGAGTTAGATCTACTCAGTTTTAATGTTGATTCAGAATATCGTATTACTTTTAATCCAAATCATCACTTTTCAACTGAAATCGGCTACTTTCTGGTAGAAAAAAGCTCAAAATCCTGACCTATCTGCAGTGTGGTTAGGATCTCATTATTGAGCCAGTGTTTTTTCTTGGATATTTTTATATCATTTTGAAGCTCTTCAAAAGTCCTATCAATTATATGAAAACTGGCGTGATGGTCAATACCTTTGATTCACAACGATGGAGGTTTTCGTTAGCTATCATTGATTTTTCACTTATTTTATGAGTATGTGATCCAATGTTCTCCATACCAAATGTTGCTGCTCAGTTTTTATTCCTGGACATTTTTATACTATTTTAAAGCTCTCGAACCATATGAAAAGAAGGCTGCTCGATCATGTATTGAGTAGATTAAGCGAGACAATTATCATGAAAAGCCAGGATCATTCTTAATGCAATGCCCACTGAGTAAGTTAGTGCACCCGTTCATAGCAAAAACAAGCTCTATTTCATTAATTCTGTAATAGAACGCTTTTGGACACTCAATGTGATGGTTTCGCTAAGATAAAGTCGAATTTCTGAAGGAGGCAGATTTCATCACTTATTGACCCCACCTCCTTTCACAAGTTGCGAATATATAATTATCTCAAATCTGAATGCATAAATCTTTATTGCAATGCCACATAATAAAAGCTGGTTGTAATAGACATTAGTATTTGTCAATCACGAAATAGCTCATACGACTTTGATAAAACCTTATTGTATTTAGTTAAATAATATCGTTTTATTTTTTTTGCGCGCATATATTTAATGACTAGTGAAAATAATGTTACTACAATCCAAATAATTGTTCGTAATGAATCTTTTGAACTATCATCTTCTCTATTTCGTCAATTTCTCGAATATTCATCATCTTCTAATTTCAATGTTTCTAAACGAGATGAACAAGATCAAATTTATTTAAATGTTCATCCATGTATTTTCAATGCTTATCTTCTTTATATTCAATCAGGTTATTTTGTTCAACCTGATTATTTATCACAAGAAGACTTAATTAATGGGTTACGTATATGTGGTGCACCTTTTGCTTTAATTAATCATTATGAACATTATGCTATAACATCAGTTCTTTCTTCGCATGAATATTCATGTCATTTAATTCATAATAAAAATAGTATTCGACATAAATGGCTCAATGTATTAATTCTAATCGGACTTTTTATTGCCGGATGCTGTTTAACTATTGATTTATATCGACAAATATTAATGTTAAACAAAAATCCTTATGAGGAAACATCTCAATTGTTAATTATTATGATATATTTGATTGATAGTATTTTATTTCTATATTCATGTACACATGCAATTTCAAAATTTATTTCAAATGCAGGTGCAGAAAAACCATTAGAAAAAGATCCATATTTCATAACTAATATCATCTCATGTTTGGGTAAATAATTCAATTGAAATAGAAAAATATTAATGAAAATATCTTTTTAGGTATTTTATCTTATTTTATTATTCAGCGTCCAATTACTAATGTTTATGTATCACATTGGAATTCAATTTGGATTTTTATTCATATTTGCCGTACTATTCGTATAGCTCAATTAGGTTATCGTTTAATCTATATTCAATGGTGTTTAAATGCTATTATTCAATCTTTCTGGACATTTCTACAAACAATTACAGGACTTTTTTGGATATTAATTTTTTCAGGTTCAATGTTATATACAATGGATATGATAGAAAATAATCAACAATATTCTAGTAATCGTCTAACAATTCTTTCAGCACATGAAACTTTATATACAATTGGATATCGAAATAATGCACCATATGGATATTTGACACGTTTATGGACAATAATAAGTATTTATTTCATGTCATCAATTGTACAAATACTTTTATGGTGGTTTCAAACAAAAGTTACTATTCAATGGAAAATCTTATTAGATAATGAAAAAAAAAACAATATAATAAATCGACATATATAAATAAACTATTTCGTCAAATATTTCAAAATCTTGATCAATTTAATTTCTCTAGTTTAGAAATTCGAGTCACATTTTCTAATCTTATCAAATGCAGTATTATTGATAAACATTATGAAAATTCGAATTCATAATATTCAATTAATCTATTACCTTCAAAATTCTATGCAATGAATTGTATGTTAAAATAATCCGAATGTATTTATACAAAAAAAAAATAATAAACTTAAAGTTCAATACAACAAATGATAACTGACTCTGAGCTCTATTGAGTTACATAATTATCAACTTACTTTATCATTCTGCATCAATTTAAAAATCATACTTGAAAGCAATATATAATTGACTGTCGTTTTTATGCTATCTCCTACTTGAATTTCTCAAATAAAACTTCAATCGTTCAAATCAAAAGAACAAGTTTAATTCTAATAATGATTATAATTCAACAAAAATCTTATTAATTTCAAATAAACAATATATTTTTTCACTTTTCTTTTTTCTCATTATTTAGAACAGTTAACATTTTTCATAGTGAATTCATATTCTTAGTCATTTTTATGTTCATTCTTCATCATACACACGCAATGCTTTTGTTCATTTAAAGCAATTACGGAAAGGTGTGCGTGCATATTTGAAATTTAATGCATCTAAGTAGTGTTTGTCGCGTCATCTAAGACGTTAGAATATAGTGTTAGTGCTGATAATGATTTGTGCATGTTGATTAATCCATACGGTACCAAATGACAGGAAATAGAAATAGAACAGGAACAAGATTTGTTCATTATGTGAATTGAAAAATATGAGTCATATAGCTGTTCATTTGAAGAACTCTCTTTTTCACAGAAGTATAGTTTTTTTTTCCTACATGTATGATTGAAGAGTGAAGTAGAATTCATTTAGCTACCTTTTCTTTTTTTTTTGTGATTGACAAAACAAAAAAAAATCCTAGTTCATAGCATGCCTTTTCTTTCACTTTCCTTTAACAAACACAGAACGTCTACTCTATTAGATTGCAGCATCGAAAGGTTACCCGTACTTCCTGTCTATAGTCACACTTTCATTTTCCAATTTTCTCTTTGATAAAGCCCCGTGAGCACAATTATTTTTATATAAAAAAAAAAAAAAGAAAAGAGCGAAGAAGACAAAGCACAACCGTCGCCCATAGCAATGCATGGAAGAAAAGAAATGAGCTGTTCGACCGTAAAAACTGACGTCTTTATCTCATCTTCCTATCAACACCTTTTTTTTTCTTTTTCATTTTGCATATATCCATGTGCATTCTTCATTTTTTTTTCTCTTCATTGTCGTCTTTTCATAGGACACACAAAGAGAAGAAAAAAAAAAGTTAAAAGTTGAACTCAAGAAGCAAAGAAAGAATTATATTACACATGAGAGAAAAAAAATCCAAGAATGAGGATTATCATGGAAAACATATAGAGACAGAAAAGAGTAATAAGAATAGTTCATCATTATTTTCAATGTGCAATAAATATGACATAAGTTAAATTCTATTACTCGAGTCATTGAAAGTCAATTCTCATGATATTAATTCAAGAATAGTAAGTTATTTTCAAAAACATCCCTAACAACAATATAAAATTTTATCTTATAGTTTATTTGTAATTCAGTTGTTATGTTTGTTCACTTAGTAATATGATCAAATCATCTATATCCTTTCTCAGAACATTAATTATACTTGAGTACATTGAAATCTCATTCCTATTGTCTATGGGTGGTCTGTTTTATCTTAATTTTCTTTCATTCTTTCGTCTTGTTAAACAGAAAAAAAAAGTAATGTTAAAAAAAAAAATTCACTCCTCCGCACACATGTTGTCGCTAAGCACACGTAAACGAGAATAGCTGTTGTGAAAGATAAATTGACTGACTGGCTACGAAGGAACACAAGCAGAACGGAAGAAACTTCTATTTTTCTTTTTTTTTTGACTACATCTCATACAACGCATTTTATTTCAAAGTCAAACAAAATTCTATAGTGTAGTGGAATGTGTATGTGAAGTCTTGGCAACAACAACATCTTGATTAATATTCTCATCATAATGATGGATATTCAACAGGTGAGAAGAGAAACTAAACATGTTAACATTATGACTATTTTATGCAGATAAACAAAATCTGATTAATACGAAATGAAAATTAGTTTAGATTTATTCTAACAAGTCTTGATGAAAACCATTAATTCTACGAAAGTAGAACAGAAAATTTTCTTCGTTTTAAAATAACAATAGAAACGAAAACAGGAGAGGTCTCTTTTTATAATGGACTAGTATTGTTTCATCTTGAATTGACTAATGGAAAGTGGATCCTTCTTTCTCATCTAGTGCTGCTCTTTCAAGTACCTGAGAGAGAGAGAGAGAAAGAAATGTTAGAGGCAATGTCTATTGTCTTCTTTAAGAGTGTAAACAAAAGTCTTCTCTTTTTTTAACATGAAAAGATACATAAAGAATGAGAGAAAGGTGTTATTCTTTCACAGAACAAACGTTATGGTAATTAGAATGAAAAAAAATCATATAAGAACAGTTGTTGAGTTTAATTAACTCACCTGTTCAACATCATCTATCATTAGTCGATTCATTGTCAAAGAAATGCTTCAATTAGTATCGCTGAAATGATTTTTAAATAAGATAATGAACATCATCTTGTTTTATTACTCTATCTCATCATTCTTTTTCTTCGACTGGCCCACCTACATACGTATTATTTCTCCGAAAGATAAAGGTGCTTTTTTTTTTTGATGTTGTCAAGTGAACTGGCGAGAAGATAACACACAAGTGGCATCTTGTCATCATGATCATATATCTAGGAATATATATATATATATACGATAAAGTGTGTCTATCGAGTACTTGAGTTATTTTATTTCATTTTTTAGAATTGTTGGCATGTGTTTCGCCTTTATTAATGGTCATGTTAATAATGGCGACAATAACTCATCAAGAAATGAAACGATGTTATTTTGATGATAAAATTACTTTTCCTATTTCAAAAAGTATCAAACGATTACGTGATTATGATGAACAAAAACAATTAATTAAATGTGATCGATCATTAGAACATCGAAAAAAAATTCAAAGAATCAGTCAAAAAGAAGAAGAAGAAGAGGAAGAAGAACAACAATATCATTGTCAAGTTTATCTAAAATTATTTCCATCAACATTAAAATGTTCACTTGATGTTATTGTTAAGCCAATAAATAAACAAACAAAGGATAGTGATGATATTGATTCAATTTTAATAGCAAAAAGTCGAATACCAAAAACAATCAAACCAGGTTTTTATTCAAATTTTATTATTTTAATTTAAAATTAAAAATAATTTTTATTTTTATTTTTAAAGGTGTTATTCGTGTTCGTCTTGTTTCAGCTTTATTTAGTGCTGATATTGATGTACATGAAGATCCATCTCTTATTAAACTTGAAACAATTAAAAATCAATCTTATCATAATCATTTTGATAAACAATTTGCTCTTATATTAAAAGTAAATTTAATTTCATTATAACAAAAAAAAACAATATATTTTTGATTTTTAATTAATTAGAATAGTCAAATTGGTCCAGGTGCTATTGGTAAACTATTTATTGAATTCTTAGATCCATCGAATGGATCATATACAAACAATCCACCTATATTCGAACTCAATCTCAATTTAGCATCGCAATATAAAATTCCATTGACTTCGTCACATCAGGTAGGCATCCACTATATGCTTAATGAACTTGAAATGAGCAATCAGACTTTTGTATTGTTCTTTCTCAGATTGATATAAGAAACCGTGTGAAAGAATGATGATCATATGTCAATATATGTATAGAAAGAAAATAAGAAATGAAGCTGTATCAATAATATACATATTTGAGATTGAGAAAAAAGACGAAGAAGAAAAAATATATGTTATTTGCATAATTTATTGCTAAAGAAATCAAACTGTCGACTTCAGGTAGTGGTAGAAGAAAGCAAAAAAACTACAAAGAAAAAAAAAAAGAAAAGAAAAGATTGTATTAGATGCTGCATATATAAAATTGAAAAGATGATTGGATAAATTCAAAAGTGTTGAAATATAATAGAAATCATTTTATTATGTATTTTATCAAAAGAAATTCAAATGTCATTTTGAAGAGTTTTCTTTAATCTGTTTACATAAGAATATTTGATCTATTGAACCGGAAAAAAAATATTGCCTTAAGGAGTAAATATATTATTCAATTCTCTTTTAGAAAAGTGACGATAATGTAATCTGTTCTTCTTTAAAATGTGGTTGTATTCTTTCTTCGGATCAATCTCGTTTAAGTATTAGTGACAAATGCAATGTAAGAATTATTCATGTTTTTTGCTTTTATATATTTGTTTATTTTTTAGTTAATATTAGATGATATGAAACTTGTTCATCGTCTAGCTGAACCTCTTCGTTGTTTATGGAAATCTATTGGTCGTGAATTATCTCCTTGTTTTTCTGAAATTGATCTAGATGATTTCAATCAAAGATATTTTTTATCCGAAGGAAATCAAGAATGTACTTATCAATTATTACGAGAATGGTACACACGTGATCCTCATCAAGCAAATATTCGTTATTTACTAACTCGATTACAACTTCCTTTTCATATTGTTATGACAATTCACAATAATGTTGTGAGAACATTTTCTTTATCTTAAACTAGAGAATTCTTATGAGCATACTTCATACATTACATTCCGTTCAGTCTTTGTACAGTATTTTAAGTCTTTTTGTTGTTTGAGGCGTTTGAACTGTTTTTTTTATCTGTGTGTGTGTGTGTATGTGAGTTTTTGAATGTTTTCCTTGTCGCTAGCCGTCCAAAGGTGCCAGCCGATTGTAACAAAGAAAAAAAAAGTGACCATATGATCATTTTTTTGTATATAAAGTTTTTTTGTTTGCATGCGTGTTTTTTTTCTCTTTTCAGTGTATTGTTTATTTCAAGTTTATAAACAAGATGAAAAAATAAACGAACATGTTTTTAAAAAAAAAGTTCATTTATGAAGAATTCTTTTTACCTTGTTGAGGATCATGCCAAGAGCATTCTCATTTGATAAATTATAATTTATCTATGATGCAGCACAGACGAAAAAAGATAAAGTTGGAGACATTTTATTTTCAAATATACGAGAACGATCAAAAATATTTATCGGATCTTGTACAAACCACAGCAATGTGTTATTGTTGAGGAATCCTTTACAAAATAACTGAAACATAAAATGACCCATAAATATTTTCATGATAAAAAATTTAAATTCTTCCATTATGTTTCAGCTGAATGCACTGAAATTCTAATGAATGATGGAAGGTTCTTCGAAATTTTAATTCAGACAAAAAACATTGAAAGTACTATTTTCTACAGACTTTAAGAATCGAGAATAAGAGGCATCAGACTTTCTATAGTTTTTTTTGCAAAATTGATCAAGTTATAATTTTGAAAAATAATGAATATCATTGTTTGTGAGTTGATTAATATATATAATAGTGCCCAAGATCTGCTGTAGACATTATGGATATATAAAACAGACTTATTTGTCAATTAGTTCAATGATTATAATAAAAAGAACGTTAAATTAAGAAAAACAAATAAAAAAACAATTAAAAATAATGAGCGAATAGCAACAATGTAAAAGAAACAATCGGGCACCCGAAGAAGAAATAAAAGACTCCTGTTCGAAACGCAGAAATTAGAGAGATCTTTACTCTTATGTTCGATTATTCTGTAAAACAACTATAGTTTATGAGAGGTTTTTCATATTAACTATATTGTATTAGTTTAATGAGACTAGAGAACATATGTGAGTTTCACATTTCAGCCCTACAGGAGTTGCGCTAACAAACTTTTTCAAAAATACTACGAGATAAATGAAGCTACATGGTTTCCTTTCCATTAATTCCGATTATAAATCGATTCTTCCTTAAGTATCAATCCTTGCTCGCACTAGAGAGGTTATGGATTTCCTGGGTAGCCTCTAAAAGGTTAAAAACAGCAGTCCATAACTTATACGGAATAGATGTATTAGAATTAATAATAATGCTAAATTAATGTTAATACTAAAATATTAATTAATTCGAATGCCAATAATGCTAAAGTATTAGACTTATTGATTAATGCTAATGCCAATACGACATCTGTAGTACAAGCAGAAAATAACGATAACTGACATTTCTTGTCTATTGAATTGATCAAGTTTTCTATGGTTTACAAAAAAATCGAGGTGAATTTCATATTTTTGTTTTATTTGCATATATAATATATGTTTGAGACCAACGAAAAGATTTTCGTCTATATGTTTTGAACATAATCATTTTTTATTTTCGATACAGCATAGGTGATTCTTACGCAAAATACTAACCGATGCTGTCTACAAGAATTACTATCATTAGATTTCGCCAAGTAAAGGTTGTATAATCATTGATAAAAGACAAATTTCTCCTGCATGTCTACATTTTAAATAATAGTATCAACAATTCGAACTTTTCGAATTATCACGGTACAGTTTTATAAAAATTTTATTAAAACAAGATAATCGAAATCGTAGAATAATCATATAAACGAAATTGAATGAAGTGAATTTTTTCTCGTTCATTTATATATGACTTTATAGAACTTGATGAGGTAATCAGGAATATATAGTTTTTATTTCGATTCGATCACTGTTCGGCTTAAAAACACCATAAAAACCTCGAATGACCGAAAATGTAACATTGGTAAATATGAACGGGCTTTTCTTCTTACAAAAATTGTCAAATTTCAATTACTTATTTGTTTAAACTACATGAGAGAACGTTATTCTGATTCAGTATCAAAAATTAATTTCCCATAGAACGGAGGAATGAAAAATGTGCTGGTATTTAGCGATTTTCTTTTTCCATGGTTCATTAAAAAATAGAAATAGATAGCATCTTCAAAATCAGCATAGTGTTTATCATACGTGTCCATCTAAGTTGTGAATAGATGTGTTCATATATGTATAGGAGAATATTTTTCTTTTTAAAAGAATGCAATTGACGAGAAATTATTTTATATCTATTCTGAACGAAACCTAAAGTTTTGGTGGTGAATATGTCTAAATGTAAGTGTTGTCGTAGAATATTATTATAAGATTGTGCCCTGAAACAGCTACTATTATGTGCCTATGTCTGTGGATTCATTTATATTTTATTAGATTGTTCATATTATTGATACACTTTGATGAATTCGTATCATCAGTATAAAATGATGTGATTATTTTCACACTTGTTTTTCAAAGAAATCTGATCTATTGTAAAAAAGTCTTTGTATAATATGTGTGGTCAAATTTTGTTCACGGATAAGTCATTGAAGACAATTGAAAGTAATTATTGAGAATCAGCATTACTTGCTCTTTTTCTAATCATATATTTAGATTTTATTTCAGTCTTAAAATTAGTTCGTTAAGAACAAATCGATGATGACAGTCAAAAGCAGTGAGTTAATATCAAATTTGATGCTTTTTCTAAATGTATGCTCAAAATTTTTTCTGACTTATGGTGGATTATCTGTGAGCAAATATTTCAATAGATAAAGAAAATTGTTTGCAGGAAATTAAATAGGTTTTTTCCTGTCATTTATAATTTCATTAGATAATATTTTCAGATAGTTTTAACTTTCTAGTATTGTAGAGAATTTAAATTTCTATCAAATTATAGATTGCAGTAAGTTAAAATCAAAAGTTATAAATGTTTCTTTGATATTTAGAATACAATAGATTTCGATTGTCTGCGGCAATATTGAAAAAAAGAAGTGAACCGACCTTTTTGAAGAGATAACCTCGTTCTACTAGTTGATGTATAAAACGATTTTCATATAGTTTGAAGTGAGACAGTTTTAATCAACATTTTGAATTCATTATTAGAAAAGCATGCAATTCTGATTCTAGCTGATTACTTTTGATTCTCTTCGAAATAAGAAATAATTGTTCAGTATACAAATATTTCTTATAACTTTTCCAACATGTAATAAAAGGAATTTATTTCTATTTATGACTAGCAAATTTTTTTAATAGAATAAACTAATAAAAGATTGTCGCAAGAACGAAATTCAATTATGTTTGTCTTTGACAAAAAAAAATGGAATATTAAGCGTTCATCTTTCATAGATTTGTTTTATAGTATATTCTACGTTTTGAATTGTTGGCTAGTCTTCAATTGAGTTCTGTGTTATAAAGAAAATGTGTTTTTAAGGAAAATCTCGCAATAAAAGAAAAACGCGTTTACCAAATGAGGAAAGCTAATTACAATCTAAGTAAACGTCTTTCTATTACTTCTCACCGTTATTTTCACGATCTTTGTACGCCAAAAAATTAGCTGTTAAAATATATACGTGAAACGCAATCTATGCTAGGGGAAAAAAAGTTATAGTTGTCTCCAATAAAGTTACCAAGTAACGATAGCGGCTAATGAAAAATTTGCGAACTGATTAAGGAAAGGCAATTTTTCGAAAATAAGACTATTTTGTAAAATTTCGATCAAAATTTTTCGAGATCGAGGAACCTGAATCCCTAATCGTTTTTCAAAGTTATCAAATCTATATTTCCATTATGTGTGGAAAAGTTCGGTAGATTTATGTATGGTTTTTTATAAGATGTTTAATGTAGAGTATGAAATGTGCTATTTTTCTGTACATGAGAATGTGCTGTGAAAGAGGAATTTCAAAGAAATAGTTTTTCGATAAAATCATCTTTATAGTTAGATCAATCGTCAGTACTAGTACGGAAAAGAAGATATGCATCTGTTTATTATTGAAGCCTAAACGATGAATAGATTATTTAACTGTTAATTAAGAGATGCGAAATTGCGCTGACAGTTGTTTTATGAATTTCGACAGATAATCCATAAGCAGATATGATTAACATTAATGAAGTCGTAGTAAAAAAAAAGTTATGCAGTTGCACTCACCACTCTTACTATTTTCGTTGAAACATGATTGATTCTTGAATATTATATTCATATTTATAATGATTGCAGATATGAATGTGTTAATAATTCGTTTAATAGTGTTTTCAGTGAATGCATTTAGACTTCATATAGATAACGATGTAATTCTTCGTTTTTGAGAAAAATCATGTGTTACATCTTATTTTTCATGCCAATCTATTTGCAAGGAAATAAATCTTTTTTTAATTTATTATTTAGTTCGATGAAACTCGATTTAGCGTATTTAACAGGGTTGCATCTGTACCCCATTTTGAGGTACAGTACCCCATTTCGACCTTTCGTACCCCACAAAAATTTGTACCGCTGGGGTACACATTTTTGTATGCCATTTGAATTTTTTTTTCTACATTACTTTTGAGTCACTTTTTAACAGAAATCTCAAAAACGGTCTGTAAAACCTTAAATCATTTCCTACAGATGTGAATTGACTTAGGTGACTTACAAATGTCAAAAGTTTGCCTCTATTAGAATTTGTCTCCTTCTTGACTTCTTAATAGTATGTTGAAATTCAATTTGAATTTTTCATTGAGCAATAAAATGAAGTGTTAATGCTTTTACTATAATGGCTCGAACAGAAATGATCGATTGGCAAGAGAGTAACACAGATAGAATGAGCTAATCGAGAAGATCCCAAATCTAGTGGGTCAGGTTTTGATTCGATAGGTTTCTGAAAAATCGAAAATGATCTCTTCAAAGTCGTCCGAGGAAACCCATTTCACAATATTGAGAACTCAAACGCTTCTTTTCGACAAAATTCAAAGTTAAATGACAACTTAAGAAGAGAAAGTCACAAATGAATGCGAATATTTTTTTTTTTGCTTTGCAATGTTTGAGAACTACGCGGACGTACTTCATGCATAAGTGAATAACGCTTTTCTTCAACATACTAATTCCGCTTCTGTTTGCATAGCTTTAGCTGTAATAATTTTCACCAGAGCCGTCCACTTTTGGAAGCAAAAATGCATACATTTTGCTTCAGGGAAAGTCAATATTTGCGTCGATGTAATCGACAAAAAAGACTTTACTTCCTTTAATTTTTTCTCCAAAATCTGTTTTTTTTTTCTTCGTCAAGATTTTTACTTTTAAACAAGTTTTTACAAGCATAGCTGTCTTCACGACAAAACTGTAAGGAAAAGTTTTTGTTCATGTGCAAACATGTCTTTTCTTGAGCAGGTTTCGAACATTACATACGTTTTGTAGCAGTTTGTATGAAAGTTCTGATGTGGAGAGAAATAATCTGAATCCTGAAGAGTTTACTAACTTATACTGAATTTCACCTATTTGCACGAAAACTGATTGGAAGTGACAAAATTCTGGCACATCATTAGACCGATAGAAAAAACTACTCGAACTCTAATGTAAAAATCTTCCATCCTTTCGTACCAATCTGATATAACAAGATTTACGCCATTTAATCACCATAGTCAACGTTCTTTTTTAATTGAACATCTTCAATGGATTTACTGAAGCGATTTTTCGCGGAAAAACACTTTATTTCTCATTTTCTTTTTTAGGAAAAAAAACAATATTTTCAGCCATTTTTTGCAAGGGAAAAGGTCAATATAAAGTCTTTCACGAAACGATGTTTTTTTCTCAGTGATTTTTTCACAGCATTACCCTGAATTTTCAGAAAACCTATGTACCCCATGGATGTACCCCATTTAGAGAAATTTTGTACCTCACATGTACCCCATTAGGGACGTTTTGTACCCCATTTGAGACCTTATCAGATGGCAACCCTGGTATTTAAACAGTTTTCTTTAACTTGCAGGTGAATCATACTTGAGTCTTGATGTTTAAACTCAAAAAATTAGAATCCAGTACATGTCTAACTGTATACACATTCCAAAAAGTAAATTTGTCAGAAAATTTCATGATATGTTGATTTTCCACGAGATGAAAAAATAAAATCATAGATATGCATTGTATGAATATGATTTTGACTGTGGATCTTCTCTTGATCTGCACTCTCACCGATACTCGCACATTTCCACCAGCATTTACACGTCTATACACTCAATGAGAGTGCTTAGAACTTTGACAAGTCATAGAAATATAGAACACAAAATTCTCTATCTACTGATATTGCATACTTTGCTTTTAAACTCGATCATAACGAAAACAAACTTAAACAAATTGATAGACACTTGTAGAAAATAAGGAATTGCAAATCAAGAATTGAATTGGTATTGTTTTTTCTTCGAATTTTATTTCTACAAAAAAATTTTCATGTGAAAAACCAAGTAAACATTTTTGCAGAGAAGTAAATTCTTCATTAAATGAACTCAAAACGAGAATCAAAAGCGATTTTCAATTGCTTCAAAGACAGAATACAAAAGTCAACGATTGATTATTCGTTACCGATTATATATCCTAATACTTTTTTTTATTTTGGATGGATAAGACCAACAATATTATTTTTTCCGATCATTTGTTTTTGTTCTATTAAGATAGAATGAGACATTAAGTAGATGAGATATGCAAAAATAGTTAAACCACTTAATGTTGCTATACAGTTAACAATCAATGTAATATACGACCATTTTCTTGCTTTTTCATAATTTTGTCGTCCTTTAAATTTATTAGTACGTAAAGAACATCCAATGGCTATGACACCTAATATAACTAAACCAAAGATAACATTTAAATAAGACCATATAAACCATTCTCGAAGTGATTCGATTGACTTAGGATCATTACGTTCATTCAAAGGTTCTATTATATCGTGATTATCAAGTAAAGGACTGTCATCATCCATTACTTGTTATATTTACCTTAAGTATTTTAAAATGCACGACTAAATTATAATGACTGAGAATTTTATTGATGTTGATTATTTACCAGACAGACTACAGAACGGAAAAGACCATAAATATGCCGTTTATTGCATGTATATTCTTATCGCAATTTTGTGCCGTGAAAAAAAATTTTCTTTATTGACACAAAATGTTAAGATAACTGGATCATGATTTTGAAAGAAAACAAAATGGTCAGAATTTGAATTATTTCAAATGAGAAAATATTACAAAAAGTATTTTATTGAAATTCTTTCAAATAGAGATTCGTTCAAAAAACAAATATCTAATTAACTATAGGCACATGTTTATTTATATTCGATGTTTTCGTAAATTCCAATGACTGATATTTTTCATATCTATACTCTGGCAAAATATATAATTACTACATAGCATTGCAAGAACATCTATTTTTTGAGAAATAATATGCCTCTCTTCAAAGACATGAGAGCAAATAGTCAGTTAACGTAAATAGTAAACGACATTTCAATTACATAAATATGAAGTATTATAGTGCATGTCATGTGTATAAGTCATGAACAATTATTTATTTTAATGAGCTATTCTGTTTATTCCAAATATGCATATTTGCATTCTAGAACTGAAAACAATGTCCACGATATTTTAATCGCTATTCTAATCGGTCGCTAATTAATCGATGTGAATAGTATGCCATGCCTGTGGCTCAATGAAAAATAATCATAATTGAACGTTTTTAGACCGTAGAATTCATCTTTATTAAGTCAATATTTGAGCGTAAGCAGTCGACCTGATACCCCAAGGTACAGAATAGGAATTAATATTATTCCAGGAAAGAATATATAATAAATTTTATGTTAAATGAAAGCTCGTCAAAAATGTGATTTATTGATACTAAATAGTAAGGCTTTTGTGAACTCTGTAATGTCGAACTTAAGAAATTTTGAGAAATTTTATACATTAAAAAAATATTAAAAAAAATTCACATTTTCTATATGGAAGAAAGACACTAGAGTTTTCCATAGAATTAGCTTATTTTCATTATTTCTACAACTTTGCCTGTTTCCAAATACACATATTCGATTCAGTTTTCCACGCTGCATCTATTGAATATATTTTGAAACATGTAAGATAGTGAAAATAATGAAAAAAGTTAATTTTATTGGAAAATCTAGTGTCTTTCTTCCACATAGCAAATGTGAATTTTTTAATATTTTTTTAATGTATAAAATTTCTCAAAATTTCTCAAGTTCGATATTACAGAGTTCATAAAAGCCTTACTATTTAGTATCAATAAATCACATTTTTGACGAGCTTTCATTTAACATAAAATTTATTATATATTCCTTCCTGGAATAATATTAATTCCTATTCTGTATCTTGGGGTATCAGGTCGACTGCTCACGCCCATTTATAGATCAATTTACTAATTCATTGAAGCATTTTTTTTAAACATATTGTACAAGTCAAGAAGAATCTTTCCTCAATTTTCAAACTAGTTATGATAAATAATATTAATGAATATATATTTTATAGATATTGATATTGTAAATATTTATTTCGAACAACAAAAATTTAATTTTATTATTGATATGTCTATATTCCAAATAGCAAAATGCAGTAAAACAATGTATTTGATAATGTCTCTGAAAATGAAGGTGAATGTTCACTTATAAGTACATCGCGTAGCAACCTTCGATAGTTGGTTTCTGTTTAAAGCACAACTTTCCAAACACTATCCGTGATTGCCATAAACATAAATGTGTAGAGATTCATGATCATCAATGAATGTCGAATACTGTTTTATAAGACACGATCGATTCTCATTTACTAATTGTGAAAAAAATTCAAGAAACTACAGCAGCTTGAGTGTTGGTGTAGGTGAATACAGAAAATATTAATACCCACACCCTTAAAACTACTACATCGATTTTACCATGAAAAACTTTAGTTTATTCATTCATGTAAATAAACCAGAATTTATGGTAGATAATAGTTATTCGTTTTAATATTTTTAATTTGACTTTTTCTTTGTATATGCAAAACATTAAAAAAGTTGCATTGATATTTTCATCTTAGAAAGTGAACTTATTGATCGAAAATGATTGAACAAAATTATATTGTTTTATACAGATCAATAAATTTATCTCTGCATCGATTATCAAACACGTGAAAAAGACAGACATGATCACAGATTTCTTAATGTAGCTGATCAGTTTGTTTTCGATTTCGAGTACTCGACATGATATAGCTTCAAATTCTTATCAAGTATTTCTCATAAGTATTAAAGAAATTCACTCAAGATTCATTAATAGAATTAATGATTTTTAAAGTATATAAAGATATCTACGTGAAATGAATTATGAAAGATAAAAGTAATCGAAAATGAAGTCTATAAATGCATAGTATTAAGTAGAAGCATCATTCATTTACTTGTTCAAATATGAACAATTGAAGATATGAATTACTACGAGGCTTCTGTCATTTGTTTGTGTTATTTTTACCGGTGGTCAATTATGAACATATCCATTATCGACAAGTCTTCTTTGTATGTTCTGCCATAGTCCATTTGAAAAAAAAAAGAAAAGAGAGACAATAGACCATTAATAATATTCACATATAGGATTCATCGAACAAATAACGATCATCTACAAAACGTAAAGACTTCCCTTCTTTTTTCTTCTTCTTCTTCTTATTAAACACTAGAATAGTGTATGAAAGATTGAACACAAAATGATGGAAAAACGAGTTCATTTTGAAAATCTTATAAAACAACCTATTCATTTACAAGAACAAGGAGAATTAATGACTGTTGAACAAATCAAACAATCATTTGATTCTATTATAAGAAAAATCGACGAAAACAATAATTTATTATCAGATAAGCAATTGATGAAAGCAATTGTAGAATTAGCAATTCATTCAAATGAAAAAAATTTATGCGATCCTACTATAATTAATCATCGTGTCTTTTTTATCTTACGTGATTATTATTTAAATCTTATACAATGTTGGCGTTTAGGTGAAAAATTCGATGATATATCTTGTTTTATATTTGAAACAATTTCGAATTTATTTCTAAAAATGTCAAGTCATATATCAGATTGTACTATATCGTCATTGAAAGAATTAATTTTTCATGAAACACTTCTCAATGAAATAAATCAATTTCTGAAAGAATTATCAATAAATGGTAAATATTTACAAGATCCTCAAATAAAAAGTATTGATAATTTATTACGAACAATTCAACGTCTTGAACGAATTAATTTTGATAATAAAAAAGATTATCTATTTGATAATATTGTTAAATGTATTTGTTCATCATTATTTATTGAAATATTTCTTCAATCTTTAAATCAAGAAAATATTGATGATGTTGGACAAAAATTTTTATTAAATACATGTACAGATTATATTTATTCTCATTCAACTGATAAACAACATAAACAATGTTTAATTGATATTCGTCAATCACTTCTTCGTCCATTTACACAATGGTTAATTCAACAATCATCATTATTTCGTTTATGGAATAATCGAATAATAATTAATTTACGTCAAATTTGTTTTTTATTAACACTTAGTATTCAACTTAATCGATTTATTATTCTTGATAATGATATATTAAATTATTATTGTCAAATTATTGATTCATTTATTAATATACTTTATTCAATATTACAATCTGATAATAAAATAAATAATAAATTATCATATTCATTAATTGGAACAATAATACCTAATTTATATACAATGACATTATCAAAACAATTAGAAAAATATATTCAAAATAAATATATTATAACATTAATATTAAAATTAACTAATTATGAAAATGATGAAATACAATTAAATGCATTTAAAATTCTTTCATCACTAACAACTGAACAAGAAACAAAAAATATTGATTATTCAAATAATATTGCAGATCTTTTTATTAAATTTCTTAATAAAGTTATTGATGATTCAAATCAAACATTAAGATTTTATAATTTACTTCGATGTCTCAAAAGTAAATTTAAATGATTGTTTTTTTTTTGAATTTGTTCAATTATTAATATTTTAAAATATTTTCTTGTTTTTATTAGATTTAATTCAATATGATCAAATTAAAGATGAATTAATAAAACAAAATGGTCTTCCATTAATTATTCGTTGTGCAACAGATATTAAATATAAACCACTTCAAGTACAACAACCTGCTTTAGAAATTCTATTTGCTCTTACATTTAATAAAGAAGCTTATCAACCACTTAAAACATATTCTATTCAAATAAAATCTTTTCTATTTTCATCTCATCAAGGAATATCACAAATTGTTGAAAGAATTTTATGGAAATTAGAAAAAGAAGAACAAGCACTTACAAAACCAAAAATTCATGATAAAAATTATAAATATGATATTATGTTATCATTTTCACAATCCGATAACGAATTATGTCTTCGTATTTATGATGAACTTCTTAAAGATAATTTTCGAGTTTGGTTTGATCAAGATGAAACTTTAGCAATAACAATGAATGAAAAATGTGAAATAATTGATGAATGTGAATATTTTCTAATGTGTATATCTGATACATATAAACAAAATTGTTATTGTCGATGTGAAGCAACTTATGCATTTGAACGTCAATATAAAATAATACCATTAATTGTTTTGTCGAATTATCGTCCAGATGGTTGGTTAAATCGTATAATTAATGGAAAATTTTCAATTGATTTTATTAAATTTGATTTTAATTTAGCAATAATAAAATTAAAAAATGAAATTAATCGTCAAAGAAAATATTCAAAAATAAATCAACAACAAGATTCTATTTTAATAGAAACACCAATTGAAATTTCAATAGATAAGTAAGAATTTGTTTGTTTTTTTTTTGGAGATTTTTTTTGTAATAATATTATTTTATTTAATTAAGTGAATATCCATCACAAATTGATCAATGGACAAATAATCATGTTAAATTATTTTTAATATCAAAAAATTTAAATCCTTTTTTAGAAATATTTTCTGAAATGAATGGAAATCTTTTACATGAACTATATAGAATGTGTTTAACAAGTAGAGAATCAATGTATCATACATTAAAAACAGAAATTTCAACATTTAATTCAAATAACGAATCATTAACACTTGTTATTTATCTTCGTTTTCTTAATGAAATTCAAAAATATATCCCATCATTGGTTATTAATCAAAAATAATAAAAAGAACAAAAAAAAACACATTTTCAATCTTTATAAACAATAGTACAGAATCAAAAAAAATAATTAATTAATTATAGAGTGTCATTTTTTTTTCTTTGAATAAATATTTGTTTTATCTTGAAAATAAGAACTTGTTGTGGTTGTTGTTTCACGTTTTCGTTTAAGGCTACCATTTGTTAAATCTTCTCTTTTTTCTTCGTCTAATTTTGATCCAAATAGACAAGTTATTGATAAAAGTCTATCTAATTTATACATATCATATTTTATTGCTGTCATTTCAACTGTTTTTCTTAACATTTCTTCTTTAGTTCTTGGCATTGTTAATGACATTTGTTTTAAAGCTTTTTCACTTAATATTGTTGAATATTTTATATTATATTCTGATGATATTAGTTTAATTTCATCTTTTAATTTCATAAGACATGCATCAAGAAGACGATTATGTGTAGAATTATTTGATATTGTTGATGAAACGTTTGGATTTTCTTTTTTAAGACAAACAGATAAAACTATTGGACTAGAAAATGTATTTGTTTTTCCAAGACGTATATAAGCTGTTGCAGTACCATATGTATCATTTATGGATATATCTTGATAAAGATAACCATCAAGTATTAATTTTGATAATAAACGTTCTAAATCTAAAATAAAACATTTTTATTTGAGAATAAAAAAAGAACAAATCTTCATAATAAGATTAAAAGATTTTGAAAGCAAAAAAATAATTATGATTGATCGATGACATGAATTACTAATTAATAAAAACTTATGTTGATGATAGTCTTCTACGAATATTATGCAATTTTCGATGTTTCGCAGTTATACAGTGGCAGATCTACGATGTCTTTAAGGAAGGAAGCCATACTTTGTCGGAGAAATAGGTGATTATAATCCAATAAAAAAATTTGCAAAGAAAGGTGAATAGCTTTTTACATGTCTATCTCTAAATGTGACATAATACAAATTTTCGAAGTCTGTTGATTTTTAACTGCTGATTATCTTCAATAATGACTGTTGTGAATTACCTTTTCGATGATTGGGTACAGGGAATTAACCTATAATAGTCAGTAGTCTGAAATACCATGATCGATTCATTTCCAAATTGCTATGGGCAAAGATTAGGTTAGTAATTATGATCCATAGTCAGAATCATTTAAGATAATATCTTTTTTTATTGTTTATTAAAAAGTCTTTGCATAAAATAAAATGTATCATCTTCAATAATATTGAACCGAATTTAACAATATTCAAGACACATAACGACATATCGGATTGCCACTAGTCAGCGTTAAGAAATAATACATAGAATATGTAAAGTTAATGGTTAGAGCGACATGTTAGAAAATTTCACAAGTCGAAAATAAACTTTTTTTTTCTTTCATGACTCCTCCTACAAAACCGTCGATCCTCTTTAAAAAAGTTTCTGTGAACATTTCAGATCAAGTCATTACTTTTGAAAAGCTAATAAGGATTTAGACACGAAAATGACTTTAAAAAAATGATTTGTCTCATAGATAGTGTGAAAGTTTCTTGACAAAGTCTTTCCTTGTTTTTTCAAGATTATTAAAATTAAAAACTATTGAATTACAGTCAGAATTTGTGTGAGAAAGACTTGAAGATTCTAACATCTCCAAACATAAATTTCGAACTTGCAAACTCTTATTGTAATTTAATACTTTTTAATTTCAGCAGCTTAACTAAAAAAATGAACAAAACATTTTGATTCGAAAAAATTTGCATCATTCATTTTTTCTCTTTGAATCAAAATCTTAAACATTTAATTTATAATTTTCTAAAGACAAAAAATAAAAATCTACACTTACTTGTTCGCGAAACTTCTTCTGCAATATTAAATTGTTCTAATTTATCAAGTCCAGCATCTTTAATAGTTTTTTGTTTACTTCCTTTTAAAATATCAATAACTTGATTAATAGTTGCTGATTTAAATTGTTTTGTTAGTTGATCAACTAATGAAATAATATGTTTAGATAATATTGTAAAATCAACTAATTTTGTTTGTGCAACACTACAACAATTATCACAACGTGTTTCAATATATTTTTTACATTGACTTGATAAATATTGTTCACCAAAATATTCAAGTAATAATGTTCGACGACAATCAACATTATTAAGACAATATGCATAAACACGATGAAGATTATCAATTCGAACTTTTTTTGCTTCATTTGTTGCATCTGCTGATTGTTCAGCTAAAGAAAACAAAAAAATAACAGAGAAAAAATAAAAATTTTTTATTCATACTCATTATTAAACGTTTTGTTTTAATCAAATCTTGATAACTATAAAAAAGATAACAATATGCTTGTTCACCATCACGTCCTGCTCGACCAGATTCTTGATAATAACCCTTAATTAAAAAGAAAAATTAAATTGATAATAATAAAAATATGTCATTAAATCAACAAACTTCAATTGATTTTGGCATCGATAAATGAATAACAAAACGAACATTTGGTTTATCAATTCCCATTCCAAAAGCAATTGTTGCACAAATTACCTTTTTAAATAAAAGAAACAAAAAAGAAAAAGAAAATTTTTTTTTGTCTTAAAAATCTTTTTTACTTGATATTCATCATTAGCCCATCTTGTTTGTACATCAGTTCTTTCTTGATCAATTAAACCTGCATGATAGGCTTGTGCTGTAACACCACTTTTTGTTAAATAAGAAGCAGTTCTTTCACATTCAGCACGTGAAAAACAATAAACAATTCCACACATTCCAACAAATTGTTCACTTAAACATAATTGAGCTGTACGTGCTAAAGCTCCATCAGTTTTTCCTTTAGCAATACATTTATAAACAAGATTAGATCGATTAAATGATTGAATAAATAATTTTGATAAATGTCTTTCAATTTTCATTTGATGAAACATATCACGTTGAACTCGTGGTGTTGCTGTTGCTGTTAATAATGTAAATGGAACATGAGGATATCGATCACGTAATGTACCTTTAATAATTATATTAAATTAATTAAAACAATATTATATAAGAATATTTTATTTACCAATTTTAACATAATCCGGACGAAAATCATGACCTAAACAATGTAAAATAATTAATAAGAAAAGTTTCATTGTTTTCTTTTTTGATTTTTGTTTATTTTAAATTTACCCCAATCAGAAATACAATGTGCTTCATCAATAACAAATCGTGCTAAATTATTTTTTGCATAAAGATGTGAAAATAATTTATTTAATTGATCACTTTGTCCTATTTTTTCTGGTGTTATATAAATAAGTTTAAGTTTAGATTCTGGTGCATAACATTGAGCATAGATTGCTGATACTTCAGCTGGTGTTCGATCACCAGTTAATGCAGCACATGGAATACCTAATGATAAAAGTTTTTGTGTTTGATCAAGAATTAATGAACGAAGTGGAGAAACAACAAAAGTTACTCCGTGATCAAGAACAGCTGGTAATTGATAACATAACGATTTACCACCACCTATTTAGAAAAAAAAATATTCAATATTATTATAGATTCAGATAATTGAAGATATAGGAAACACATAGAAACTTGACAATAGAATATTTTCGAGCTATCGGATATTATTCGACGGAATATGATCATTGTGAGAATGTTTCTATGACACTAAGATAACTCTTGCAAAATTCAAGATTATGATCTATTGATTTCAAATAAACGATTTTTATTTGAAATTTTGCCTGCAGATAGATAAAATCATTTTTAGAAAATCTTTCTCGAAATATTAACTTTTCTAATGAATTTGATGATTGCATCTAACTATGAAAAACGCCTATTGTTGTTGAAATTAAATATTTCAACAAGGACTAAGCCATGTACTCTAAAACGTGCAGAATTGCTTAATGAATATTAGATCTATTTTAGAAGAAATATTTTTGGATAAAATTTTTTATCTTTGATTATTTCGAAAATACTTTGTTGACCGTAAAAAGTTCATGATAACAGTTATAACTCTTTATCAATCGATCATAGATTTAAATTTTTCTAAGCTTTTCTTAGATTCACAAAGATCTCACTCGTAGTTATAATATCAATTCGAATCAGAGTCTGATGTGGATCAATTTTTTCGAGACCTGATCTAAGAATAACTGAACTCGGTCCAATGTCAAAAATATTTTTACGTCAATCAAAATGAATTCATTCAGAGATTAATCATCCTTTTTGGTGAATCCATACGAGTTCTCTCAAAATTGAAAAGAATGAAATCATTTTATATCATCGAGAATTGTTGTTTGTCTTATGTGAAGTTCAATATCGATCAACTTATTGTAATCTGATCTGCGAGTCGAACTCTGATGTGAATTGACATCCAACAGTTCGAGATTTTCCATCATAAATTTGGAGAAATGCCACTTTTACAGTAGGTACAACCGTTTCTCGTAGAGAAAAATAAAGAGCTTCAAAAGATTTTGTCAGCTATATAAAATTACCTGATATTTTTAAATGAATTAGTTCTAATTTATGGATTGCAACAGTCACTAATAAAACCTTCTAGTCACCTAATATTTTTATCTGTTTACTCATTGTTAGACCACTTTGGACGAACATTAATTTTGTTGTTGATGTTGTTTATTTTTTTTTCTATGAATATCGAGATCGAATAAGACCTTCAATAATATTCTTCATCCTCTTCAGATTGCCATAGGACAAAACTATTTGCTCTCATCTAATCAAGATAAAGAAATCCATAATATGATAAATTAAAAATTTAGTCCAAGAAATAAAATTTCAAATGAAGTATATCAACAATTCTCAATCATTCATCATCAATATTCTGTATATGATAACTTATAAATATTTGTATAAAATTTGAAGTATTAACCTGTTGGCATGAGAACAAAAAGATGATAACGTCTTTCAAGTGCACAATTAATAGCTTCTTGTTGATTCGATCGAAATTTTCTTAAACCAAATAAAGCATGAAAACGTTCTAACATTGTTTTTGTATGATTAAAATCTTTATCACGATATTCTGGTCCATCATCATGAACATCAGCTGATATCCATGTTACTTTATCACATTGTTCTTCTTCATCATCATCATCAATTGATGGTATATGATCATATGTTTCAAAACCTGTATCATTATAATCATTACTATTATCATCAAAAGTTTTTATTAATTTTAATGGTTTCTTTGAAGAAGATGATTGATCAAGTGACCATTCATCAAAAAAAGCATCTTCAAAATTATTGAAATTATGTGATTGATTATAATTTTGAAATTTATCAGATGTCTAAAAGAAAATGAAATATGTGTTTTTTTTTTGAATCAATATCTATTGGTTAATTTAACTTACTGAATCATAATTTTGATATGATAATTGTGAATGAAGTTCTTCTTCTTTTTTTTTTTCTTTTTTACATAAAATGCATCCAGTTGCTTTTATCATATTTGCTTTAAAACATTGAAAACATGTTGTATGTCCACAAGCATCATTCACTGGTCGATGAATACCTGCTGTATCAAATGGTATTTGACATAGTGGACAAATTGTATTTGATATTGATGGTTCAGTTTTTATACAAGAAGAAGAAGAAGAAGAAGCAGAAGAAGAAGTAGAAAAAGAAAACAAAGAAGACGATGTATCAATCGTTAAAGATGTTGATGGATGTGATATGGAATGATTCAAAGTTGAATGCATTATTGGTAATGATGATATTGAAGAGACATTCATTGTTGTTGGGCTTTGTTGTGATTCATCTATTTTATTTGATGGTTTTGTAAGAGAAATTGAATCTCTTTTTGTATTCAAAGGTAATATTTGTGACGGAACTGTATGATGACGAGTAATTGGTGGTTCATTGGGAATATGACGAAAAGTGAATCTGATATGAAGAAATTTAATTTTAGAACTTCCGAAGACAAAAAAGAAAAGTGAATAAAAAAATCTCACTGAGGTAATGGTCGATTTTCCGTATTATTCAAACGTTCTCGTATAGCTTCATCTCGATAAGCATAATAAATTTTTAATTGTTCATTTAAATTATTTTTAATTGGTGGTCGAATATTCATATCTGTATTATTGGTATGATTTGTTTGTAAAATTCTATTATTCATCTCTCTCATGTTACAAAATTCATTTTTGTGAATGATCTCAAAGAAAAATAAAAGATTTTTTTTTTCTTGAGTGAATTTTTCAAAGGAACTTTTTTTTTTTTTAATAAGAAAAATGTGTTAGTATATGTTGTTTGAAGTTGAGACAAACGAAGAAGGTATACGTACATTAATGTTATTGAGTACAGAAAAGAAAAAAAAAGAAACAAACGAGGAAAGCGTTCATAAAAGTTTAAGGTATTCAAGTGTGAGAAAATAGAAGAAAAAAAAACATGACACAAAAGAAGAAAAACGAATAATCAGTCAAATTGTGTTTCATTGTAAGTTTATTTTTCTTCGCACCACTCGTTTTCTTTTTTGATTTGTTCTTCCTATAAAAACAAAAAATTTGTTTTTTTTTTTTTATAGTTTTATTCAATTAATAAATTAAAATAAATCAAACCTCTTGAGGTGTAAAATCATTTTTGATATTAAATGTACGCCGAATTTCTTCAGGCGTTTTGCCTTTAATCATATTTGCTACTGTTTTGCATGTTACATCAAGTAAACCTTTTATATCCAAATAGTTAGCAGCCTAAATATATAACATAAAGTTTTCTAAAAAAGATACAAAAACTCATAAGTAAAAAATACAAACTAGAATAAGTTCAAAAAGTGTTCCTTGATCAACTTTTAGAAAATCTTGATCCCATGATGATATATCATTCGTATTTTTTTCACGATTTTCATCATCTTCTGGTGGAGGTGGATCATCTTTATGATGAGTTGCCCATTGAATAACCTATATTTTAATAATTAGAAAAACCAACTTGTTAAACATTGGTATATATATATTTTATTTAGTGCTTTAATCAAAGAAAAAAAGAAACAACAGACTTGATTAATTCATATATACTTTAAAATTTTTTTTTTTGTATCTAACAGTATAAATTCAACAAGAATATTTACTTTTTTTAAAATGGCGGAATTGACATTTGGTAATGGAATAACATCTTCTTCTTCATCCATTCCAAGATCTTTAAGAAAATTGTTTTTTTTTAATATAATAAAAACAAATTAAAACAAAACAATTATACCTTCTAACATTGTTTTTATTGTTGCTGATTGTTTAGCAATCTCAACTTCAACATCAAATGTATCACCATCACTTGATTGTAATTTTATTTTATGTCCAGCCATTTATTTTTTCGTTATTCGTTTAATAAATCGAAATAAAAGGTTTTTAAACAAAATCTACAAGTAAACTTAAAATCTTTAAATTAGAATATTAATAAATTAATTATTTATTAATAAATCAAACAATTACTCATCAACATTTGCAGTTGTTTCTATTATTTATATCTAAAGAAAACAAAAAAAAAATTTTTTTTCATTGGATGTTGAGAAGATCTTTTTGTTAGTATAAATTTGCAAGAGAACAGAATGAAAAAAAGAAAGAATTGTATCAACAAATTCAGCTACGATAGAATTCGTTATTTTTTCAGGTGAAAAAAAAATCTCAACTCTTAAAAACTCAAAAAAAAAACAGTGAAATTCTATAGTCATACTCAAATAAAAGTAAAGTAAATCATTATGACTTGTATCCTACATTGTCAAGACTGTGAATTATTTCTTAATAAAAAAAACAACAAAGAAGACATTATGATTTTATGTATATGTATATAAAATCGTTCTATCTGACAAATATGTTCAAGAAAGAGACAAATCGCTATACATATCTGAACAAAAAATAATGATAAGAATAAATTATTTGTTAACAGATGAAAGAAAAAACACAGATAATTATGTCCATTTATACAATCGAACTTGATTATCGGCTAACGCACATAAATGTTGACGAGTTAAACATACGTCAACTATATCACATTGTGTAGGAATTTTATACGAAGATATCTCCGTTGGTTGACGGACATTCCATAATTCAATCTAAAATTAGAAAAAGCAAAAAAATAATATTTTCTCATTTAAAATCAATCGTAAATAGAACATTTTCTTGAATGTTTTCGATCATCCTAACTCTAGTAGAAATTAGACAATATTTTTGATTGGATTAGGTGAAGAAAAAATGAGTGTGGGTGTGGGTGTGTAGATCTTCTCTTCGCCCACACTCACACCCTTCAGGATTATATGTGATCCCGCATCGGAATGTATGCAGATTTTTAGGAGAAGACTTCCTCTGTCTAATAGTGTATGTATTATCAAGTTGTGTTCTACATCAAAATTTTTGATAGATGGCGCCACCTATCGAAAACTTAGGTACGCAACACAACTTGATAATACATATACTATCAGATAGAAAAGGTCTTCTCCTAAAAATCTGCATACATCCGCATCAGAGGTCGAATCCTTGTAGTCACCTTTCATGAGTATGAGCTTCACAGATAGTTTCTGTAAATATGAATTCTTATATCAAAAATAAAACTTACACCATGTGATCCATTATCTGATGCAACAATATAAGTTTCCAAATTCTTATGAAAAATTTTTGATCTTGATAAAACAATATTAATACTTGAACCAATAAATGTTTGAATTAATTGTAAAGAAACAATAAATGATTGTTCAGAATCTTCAATAGGTCGCGTTATTAATTCATATAATTCATGTCGTGCTGGACTTGATTGTGGACGAAATGATGCTAATAAACGATTTGTTATTGAATCATAGTGAAGACTCGATAAATTTTCTATAAATTAAATTAAATTAAAACAAAAAATCATTATCAAAAACAAAACTTACTGTCAATAGGTAATGCATGATATCGATATTCACTATCTGGTATATATTCATAAAATCCACTTTTATCATTACTTCCAACAAGTAATCCATTTGATTGAAAATTTGTATTTCGTTGTATATATTGAAGACTAACAATAGGTGATGTTGTTGATAAACTTAATGTTTCAATACTTGATGATAATATTGTTTCACCTGTTTGAATTTGTCGTCGATCAAATACTTGTACACGACCACTATTTAATCCAGCATAGATTATATTTGGATCATCAAGATTCCATGCACAACTCCACACTTGGGATGCACATTCACATCTTTTCAATTTGATGTGAAGAGAAAAAATAAAAATTTTAACAAGATTAAAAAAAAGAAAAGAAAAGAAGACAAAGAAATTCAACTTACAAAAGATTAAATGTATTTCGTGTATAATCGAATATACGCATTGTTTTATCCCAAGCACAAGATAATAAAAGATCACCATGTAATTGAATATCACGAATTGGTTTTGTATGACGAAGTGTTGTATATTCTGGAGCACGACCACCATCAATAAGACTAATCTATTTAATAAATTTATTATTTTCAATGAATTCAAATATTTAACTCATACGGTTTCATTATCTTTATATTAATTGCTGACGAACCTTCCTAATAACATAAGATAAAGATAGATAATCATCTGTTACTATATTTTATTTATTTTGTATGTTAATCTAGCATCTACATCAATCTGCTATATTTATTTATGTTACATTGGAATTCGAATGATCTAAGACAATCAACATTGTGGATGAAATTTTAACGATTTTTGTTTTAGTAATGAGAAAATATTTCCTTTCGAAAAGGATGCAAAGAAGATTTTCGATTCCATTTGATAAAAGCGAAGAGTTTTTTTTATGATGAAACGTGAATGAGAGGTATACTCTTCCTTTCAGTTGAACTAACTTTGGAAAAGTTCATAAGATTAATAAAATAAAAATAGTTCTAACCTTTTTAATACCAAATCCAGGATATAAACTATTATTTGTTGGTTGACTAACAAAAAGCCATTGATGTGATGGAGCATAAGCGAGAACACGACACATTCCCTAAAAATTTTCATGATTTTTTATTTTTATTGTTAAATATTAGTTTTCTTTTTTTTACTTCTGGTATTTTAATAACAGTTTCTAATCGTATATTAATTGAAGATAGAGGTACAAGATTTGTTTTTGATTCTATAGAAGTTCGAGATGAATCATCTATTATTTCTCCAATATTATTTAAATTATGTGATAATCTATTTGAAAAATAAAAACAAAAAATAAAAATAAAATTCTAAGATATACATACTTTAATAATTTATCATGTTCATTTTGTAAACGTTTTAATTGCTCTTTAAGAATATCATAAGCTAATTGTAATTCAGCTTTTTCATAGGCTAGTTTTTTTCTTGCTTTTTTTTCTAAATCTCGTTCTCTAATAGCATTATCTCGTTCACTTGTATCTAATACATGAAGTGCTCGACAATAAATTCTTCGTAAATCTTTTTTTTTAACTGTTGATTGACATTGAGGACATTTTGGAGATGTGCGAAGCCATTTTTCAATACATCTAAATTTTTATATTTTGGAAATATAAAGATAAAAGTTAAAATAAAATTTTAAACAAACATTTTGCCAAATAGATGACCACATTCTGTTGCAACAAGTCTATGTTGACCAGAATTTGTCCATTCTTCAAGACAAATTGGACAAACTTCAGCATCATTTTGAATTGTTGTTCGTGATAAATCTTCTTTATCATTATTATCTTCATCAGTATTATTTGATTTTGTTTTTTTTCGTTTATTTGATGATATTATTGGTCTTGGTAACGGTTCAATATCTTGAGAAGATGTTGATGATGAACGATGTCGACGACTATTTGTTGGATTATCATCAGATATATCAAGAGTAATTACTTCACGAACATTTCTATCTGAGTCATCATCTATAGTTATTAATATATTAAAATTTCAAAACAATAAAAAAAAATTGTTTTTTTATCAACTTACTCATATTAATGATGTAATTCAAATAATGACGAAAATATTTTTTTTTTGTTTTGTTTGTCCTTTATTAAAAATAAATCTAAATTATTTTCAAAATGCCTGGAATTATTTTTCTTTTTTATTTTTTGAATTCTCTATGAATATCAAAGAGAACGAGAATAAATTAAATAACATGTTATACTATTCAATAGAATTAAACGACGTTTCTTTCTTACAACTATTAGTAGAATACACTTCACCCCAGTGATATCTATATGAAATTTTTAACCAATGAATAAATACAAAATATTCTTACATAATATTGTCGAGAATAAGAAAAAAGATTATTCTGTACTCATTAGCAATGTCAACATGTTCCTGTCATTGTGTCAAGATTAGTTTCTAGAAAAAGTTTTAGAGCGTAGCACAAAAAAAAAGACAAACATTTTTAGTCTGAAACAAATGTTTACAGAAATATGTCCCGCAACAGATAATGTCTTATTCAATTGTAAACTAAATTTAGAATTTTTTTGATATGAAAATTATCGTAAAGAATTCATTGGTTCGAAAACATGACTTAAGTACATAAATGAAGCAAAGGGGTCGAACACACTAGAGACAACTGACTTAACTTAAGTTTGAATTAAGTAATGTGATTGGTTAAGTCAGACTTAAGTCATCTTTTTGAGATGACTTAAGTCTAAATTAACCAATCACGTTGCTTAAATTTGTCTTAAGTTAAGTCACTTTTTCTAGTGTGTTCGACCCCAAAACCAACGAACAATGCATGAATTTTACATCATACCAACGACAAGATTTGTTGTGATGGACAATTCTATGGATGAATTTGATTTATCCAATCAAAATTTAGATAATCAAATAAATGATAAAAGATTTCGAAAGAATATTTTAAAAATTCGATTTTCTTCAAATAATAATAAATTTATCTAGAAAAATAAAATAAACCATTATTACTGATATTCATCAACAGTGACATCTATGAGTCATTACTTTCTTTTGTTTTCTTTTAAACTATTTTCAATACAATGTTTAAGTTTATTAAATCATTTTGTATTTAATTAAGAATAACTAGTTGTTCACATCATATAGATCTTTTAGCATTACTAACATATTCTATTTGTTTCATTTAATTAGAGATTTTAAACATGATACAATTGAATTTCATCATTTGGACGACTTATCAAATCTATTTAAAAGTTTTCAAAAGTAATTAGTATTGATATATAGATTGTATGAATTCACTATAACGCTTTTATAGTCCATGGCTACATTGAGGAAGTTGATAGTGATCGTTCATTCGTTCCAATTTTCTTCGATTTTTTTCAGTAGAGAAGATTCTACAATAAATCGCTACGGTCTACAATGACTGTCAAAATATTTTCTTTTGTATCTTCGTTACATCTCTCTAAGGAATATCATAGATCTCTCATTGATTATAATTAATAGAAAAGTGTTAACTAAAACGAAGTGTCGTTTTCATCATCTTGCATTCAATTAATATAATGCAGTTCTGTTTATTGTTGGTTTATTAAGAAGCAACAAATACATTATACAAGGAGTAGAATGCTATGAAGAAAAGCTGTTAGCACGATTCCTGACGAATTAAAATGTGAAACACGATGTAGTTGCTATTGCTAGTAACAGAAACATTGTTTTTTTTTGTTCTATTTTGCGACACATATGTTTACCATCCTTTTACTTAATTCTTCGGAAATGCAATAAGGAAATCTATTAGAACGTATCGTTATTCATATGTGATCTTTGATAATATATTAGCAATGTCAGTCACAATCTGGGGCAGAGGTGCAAATTTCTACCTTATATACTTCAATATTCCTTTTAGATCGTGTTTTCTGAGATAATAGATATATTCTTTTTTTTAGTATAAAAATCTTTAATCATATCCAAACTTCTCATTTGATACAAAATACATTCAGTTTCTTCACAAGCCAAAAATCTTGTCTGTGTTATTTGCAGATTCTTTTTTTTTTAGAGAAAAATTCATCAAGATTCCTTTTCTATATGTTCAATGTAATATTTTTATTGGATTGACATGATTATGTTAATCAGGCAAGAATTCAATTGACAGAATCGTGGCACTCGTGCAATTCAAATTTCATTCTTTTCATTATAATTAGTTCCGAATCGATTTTTTGAATATTCTAACAAGATTATTCTGTTTTATTTTCATAATTAGTATAAATAGGCTATATTTTTATTTACACATTTATTTCATCGTCAAATTTTTTCATAAAAATTCGTAACATTAAAATAATATGTGTTGTAAAAGTAATGGGACAAATACCGATTCCTATTTCTCTTTCGAACTGTACATAACTTGATTTTATTATGTGTTTATAAACAAAAATGAGACGAACAGAAAACGAAATACTCGCTTAAGAAATCTACAATATTTATATTGATTCATTAAATAAATTGTCCATCGGGACAATCAAGTATTTTATGAAGTAAAGCCTTTTAAGCAGAATAATTTTTAAACTATTGAATAAATATTTGAATATGGATAAACCAAGTATTTAGTTAGGAATATTCGTCCGGTGGAACTTTCTAATCGAAAATTAAAACAAATGGTAAAATCTGTTAATAATTGTTGTTGTGAAATCAGTCAGTGTAAATTAACCAAGCATTTCAACGTTAATCAATCACTCATCAGTTGTAACTTATTAAAAAAAGAACATCGATGATTATGAGGAAACGTCAAAACGCTTGAAAAATGAACAATAAAGCTTGAGAAAAAAAAAATCTAGAAAAAACTGTAGCAAGTTCAATAAAATGATTCTTCGTGATTGTCAGGTTATTTTAGATGATAACAAATATTGTAGATTCGCTAAGCGAATTTTTTTAGTTTCTTCTCGTGTCATTTTGTTTATGAATGTATAACAAAATCAAGTTATATAAAATACGCAAGAAGGAGAAATTTTCTACACGTATTTACTAAAGATAAATAGGGATTGATATTTTATCCTGTCATTCTGAATTATACGAAAAATACAGATTCGTTTTGAAAATGCTTTTCTTTTCTGTTATATCATTCTGATTATGAATGTGTGATAAAAATAAATTAAATATGATTCAAAAGAGAAAGAAAAATCTCTATCCTATGGTAAAAAGAGTTTTCTTTCACCACCTTCCTATTGAAAGGAAATAAACGGTGATATTTGTGCTATTACTTTTGCCTCATACGCTATTAATAAATGAAAAAGAAATTATCAAAAGTAATAAAAGAAGTAGACATTGATAAGCATTTTAATACAAAAAGATTTGTTATATCAGCTATAAAATAGTTAGCAACAATAAAATCGTCTGTTTAAATATTATATTTTCTTTTTCACATTGCATATGAACCGTAAAATATTCATTTTAGAAATTGGCAACGAAAAACATGCTAGCAATTTCTATAGACATATAAGAAACAACGAATGACTATCGATAATTCAATTCTAGCAAAAGTCTTCTAAATGAAATTCAAGATGAAAAAGTATCCTATGTGTTATGAAAAAAACAAAATGAATCTGGAATAATTCAGAGTCAATAATATTATCATCATTGGTTTAAAACTTCACGGCATCTCTTAATTTAATATAACCTTGTGTAAATAATTAAAATAAGTTTTCCAAGATTGATTCTTAATAATTCTCGTACGATTTATATGTACAATAGAAATGAATTTTATTGGAAAAAAAAACAAAACTTGATAATTATTTATTAAGCACGTTAGTGTATCAATAAGTATTGGAATTAATGAAAAAATAATTTTTAAAGAATGTTAATTCACAGAAATAATTGAAAAACATCATGATTATAAAAATAGAAAGGGAAAAAAATTAAAAAATTAATGAAAGGCACAGCAGTTCTTCTAATATATCACTGTTTTTAATCATTAGAGGCTTGTTCTAGTGTCTAATAAAATAAAAAAAATATTTTTGTTAAAAAAAAATTAATAGAAAAACAAACTTTTAGTGGTGGTAAATCGTTTGGAATATTAAATGTCTGTCGAACTTCTTCTGGTGTTTTGCCTTTAATTATATCTGCTATTGTTTTACATGCCATATCGAGTAAAACTGTCATTCCTAAGTAATTAGCAGCCTAAGAATAAAAATGCAAATAAATAATATTCAATGAATTATTAGAAATAAATTAACAGACCATAATAATTTCAAAAATCATTTCTTGTTTTATTTTGAAAAACTCTTGATCCCATTGTGGAATTTCAACATATCGTCGGCTATTTTGTTGATTCTCTTCTGAACTTAATTTATCTTGTTTATGATGAATTGACCATTCAATTATCTTTAATAAATATTTACATATATATTTCGACAAAAAAATAATAATTGATAAATATTTACTTTGTTTAAGGCTTCTGTTCCAACATTGGTTAATTCAATGGGATTTTCTTGTGCGTCTTTACTATCCAAGACTAAATATCAATGATAAAATAATAATGAATATATAGAATATCATTCAAATAAATCTACCTTCATATATATTTTTAACAGGTTCCCATTGTTTTGCAACAAAAAGATCAACCTCAATAATATCTCCGTCACTTGTTTGTACTTTTATTTTTTCTTCAGACATTTTCTTTTTTTTTTTATGGCTAAGTCTATTGAAACAATCTAAAATATTATTTAATTTATAATCAAGTAGAAATAAATAGTTAATATTTAAATGAACCAAGATAACTGTCATATTTGATTACGCCAAGACCTAACAACACTAAAACTTAATTGTTCATACTCATATAGACAAATGTCAAGCCGATCGAGAGTTAATAGTGAGAGAAAATAACATACCTATGATGAGTTATTTTCATTTTAGTGTCACTATGCTTTCGATTAATTTCGTCGAAAAATATTTTTCTTCCGTGGAAAGTTTTTTCGTTATGAATCATTTCAGCATAACAAATTTCATCACCAGATGAAATTATGAGATGATTATTATCGTTGCTCACTAGTGACATCAATATGAAATATTTTTGATTAATTATATTTTTTCTTTGTTAGTTTTTTTCTTAAAACAAAAATATTTTATTTTTTATTTAGAATTAATTAATTAAAAAAAAGAAAATATAATTTAATCTGAAGTTCATATATGATACTAGGTAAAATGTAGCATAAGTCCATCGAAATGAATACCTATGTTGTTTATAAATATTTTTCATATCAATTCGTTGATCTCAATAGACAAATAGATGTTCATCGAATTTCTAAATTATTTTTCTTAATTATTCATTGATTTTTATTTAGATTAATATACTTGTACTTGTTTGAATAATAAAAGAAACAAGTCAGAAAAAAGAAATTGTATTATGATGTACGAAATTAATATTCAATGAAATATAATAATAATAATAATCATTTTTCTCCATCAACAAATCTAATTGATGCATGTATCATGAAGTGGAATATCTAAAAGGAAAATTTATCATATTAATTTTGTATATTTTTGTTTTAAATTAGAATGAAAATCTTGTATTCGAACCTCTTCTTTCATCAAATCAATATAGTGAACAAGTAAGTTTAATAAATAATGAAATAGTTTTATTTTTGTATATTTGTATGCGTGTGTAAGACAGATGATCAATTATTTTTTCTTTTTCTCCTCTGTGATTTTAATGATAGTCTACCAATGATTTATTAATAAGTGAAGAACAACGAGATTTTCAATCCGTATATTTTACGTACATCTCGAGAATAAAAAATTTGTGTAAGTGCTTGCATTTTTATTTCTTTTCTGCTCTTTATTAAAAAAAATAAAAACAACTTCTCATCCACTTATTTGTTTTTTTTTTCACTATTATCGGGTTAAATATATTTTCGAATTAGAAAAAAACCAACAACAAAGAACAAATTAATATTCAAATTAAAATAATTGTTTAGGTTGTACAATGACTATTCGAACACCGAGTATGTGTTGTTGTGAAGTATTAAAATGGATTCCAGTTATATTTATCCTTGGACTTGTTGGATGGTCTTATTATGCTTATGTTGTGCAAATGTGTATCTGTATGTTTAAATACAAAAAATATTTTTAAAATACTATTTTCTATAATTTAGTTACAATTGACAGTGTGCCTAAAAAAGGTAAGAGACTTTTCTCTTGTATTTAACTATGGCACAAGATATATTCACTCATCTTTCGTTCACTTAAAGACAGTTGGTTAGAGCTAGAAGCAATTCGTGAGAATCAAACTTTTCCGTTCGTTTGGAATTTGTGTTCAGAATTTCTTTCTAATGTAAGATCAGGGGTGTAGCCAGGAGTTTTCTGAGGGGGCTGAACATGGCCAAAAAAACTTTTCCGCTGAACGAAAATAATGTGCCTGTACCCTCCTCCAGGGAATTTTTCTCCTGAGGGGAGCTAAAGCCCTCTCAGCCGCCCCCTTCCCTACACCCCTGTGTAAGATTGAACAACTATTATCAGATTGTTTCCAAAATAATGATTGTACGCAATACTAAACTCAGCGCTTTGTAATATGTTGAGTTGAAGCTAAAGATTGCGTCAAAACCATTATTTTGTGTTTTTTTACAAAATCTACTGATAGTGGTTCAATCGTACTTCAGAAAGAAAATATAAACATATGTTTGAAAATAGCAAAACTCTAACCAGTTGTCTTTTAGTAACTAAAAAATGAGCGAATATATTGTGTCAAGACTATCTTGCTATAGGTTATGTATTTGAAAAAAGATAATAATTATATTTAGTGATTTATTTATTTATTTATCATATATTATTAATACTTATTTTGTGGTCTTATTATCAAACAGTGTTTGCACCTTTGGTTGGACCACCTCGACAAGTAAAGATAATTTCAAATTTAATATTGCGAAGAAAAAATGTTTTTTTTTTCTTATTATTAGTTTTATATAGGTGAAGTTGAAAGTGCATCTATTGCTACAATACAAACAGTTAATGAGCGACGTGCTACTCTTATTCGTCTTTCTCGTCAAGCAAATTTACCATTAGTAACACGACATTTTGATGGAAGTATGAAATTGATATTAATTGATTGAAATAAAAAAAAAAAAAAGGCAATTTTCTGTAAAAGGTATTCGTTATTGTTCGATATGCAAATGTATAAAACCTGATCGAGCTCATCATTGTTCAGTATGTGAACAATGTGTTCTTCGATATGATCATCATTGTCCATGGTAGAAAAAAAAAAAATTCTATTTAAATGAAAAGAAATAATTAATTTTTATTTTTAAGGACAAATAGTTGTATTTCATATGGAAATTATAAATTTTTTATTTTATTTCTTGGTTGGGCATTAATTTTTTGTACATATGTTGCGGGAACATCACTTCAATATTTTATTCTATTTTGGCAGGTTAATGAATAATTTTCAATTTTAAAATTCTTTTTTTTAACTTTTTTTTTTCGTTTAATTTAGAATGTAGCCAATTCGGAAAACGTATGTTTTCATTTAAAAAGAAAAAAAAACAACTATTAATTTGAATGGTTTTATTTCTTAAATTAAGAATGAAACTAGTTCAGTATCAACAAGTGGAAGATTTCATTTGCTTTTTCTTTTTTTTATTGCTATTATCTTTGCTGTTAGTGTATCATCATTATTCTTTTATCATTTATTTTTAATTGGAAAAAATCGAACGACAGTGGGTAAATACTTTATTTTTGGTTTTCAAAAACAAAAAAAAACAACTTTTTATCATGAATTTTTGTTTTTTTTTGTCGTTAGAATCACATCGAGCACCAATATTTGCAAATGGACCTCAAAAAGATGGTTTTGATTTAGGTTGTAAACAAAATATTCAAGAAATTTTAGGAACTGATCTTATTAAAGCATTAATACCAATAAATACAACGTAATTTTAGAGTTTTGTCTTTTATTTATTAAAATTTCAATTTGAATTTTTTTATTAAATAGACAAGGCGATGGAATTCACTATCAAGTAAATAGTATGCTACTGGAAGATTTACAAGAACGATCTAGAAATCCAACGTACGTAATACGATCGAATGGTAGTACTAATCAGGAAAACGATAATAATCTAATATCACCATCAAATCGAAGATGATTTTGATAATAAAGAAAACTAACCTATTTCAAAAAGAAAATTATTTTTCAATTGTTTATATTTCGAAAAGAGTTTTATTTGTGATGGAATTCCGAAAAAACAAAAATTATAAACACAATGAAAGGAACTTCCATGCAGAAAAATCTTCATATAAAGAAAAACCCTTCAACATATGTTTATATGTTATTATTCTATAATTTTAATTTTTTTATTTTAGTAGAGACGTTGTTTTGCCACTTGATACTCTAGCAAATCCAATTAATAACGATCGGAACTATTTGTTGAGCAGCAATACCAACAGAAGATAGGAAACATAACAGAGGTTATTTTTTTTATCTTCTCTAATATTAAAACTGCGCAAATTTTTTTTGTGTCAATATATATGTATATATGTTTATTTATTTATTCCACAATTATTTTATCAGCGTAGTCGATCTGAATATTTTTGCTTGTATTTTTTATGTCTAATTTGTCTTTTTTCTTTCTGTATTTATTGAGTTTATTTTGTTGATACGATAAGAAAACTCTGTGAACTGAAACGATTTTTATTCATTGACAATGCAAATGAAGTGAATTTATTTTAGATTATAAAAAAAACAACTGATCGATCTTGAAAATGGCCAATAAAAAAGGTAAAAAAGGTGAAAGTGGCAGTAGCAAAAAACAAATAACAAATGAAGTTGTTACTCGCGAATATACGGTCAATTTACATAAACGATTGCATGGCATGTAAGTTAAATTAAATTTTCTATAAATATTTATTTTCTCATCGATGTTTAAAATAGAGCTTTCAAGAAGCGAGCACCACGTGCAGTAAAAGAATTAAAAAAATTTGCTGAAAAAATGATGAAAACACCTGATGTTCGTATTGATTCAAAATTAAACAAGGAAATTTGGTCACAAGGAATCAAGTTAGTTCTTTCTTAGTAATCTTTTATTTACAAAAATTTTCTGTTTTTTTTTCCATTTAGTCATGTTCCTTATCGTGTTCGAGTTCGATTAGCTCGACAACGTAATGAAGATGAAGATTCACCACATAAACTTTATACATTGGTTACATTTGTTCGAGTACCTTCATTTAAAGGTTTGTCTTGATTTTTTTTTCTATTCAATATTTAAATTCGTTGTTCTTTTTTTTTTTTTTTGTTTAATTAGGATTACTCACTGCTAATGTGGACAATGAATAAATAAACAAAACAGTTGATAACATCAAATAAAAGAAGAACTTTTGTGATTTTTCTCTCGTTGTTTTGTTAAAATAAAATGGAGAGAAAACGAATGTTTTCACATTCAATCTAAAATAGGAATAAAGATTTATTAAAAGAAATTCTTTGACAATATCAGCAATTTTTAAAAAATAACTCATTATGTAGTCTTATTAATTGAAAAATGAATTTTCTACGAATAGGTAAAGTATTGATAAATAACTAAAACATGATTGATTCTTATTCATCAAACTACTCTCTCAGACCAAGAAGAAGAAGAAATTCATATTATAAGAAACCTAAAAAAAAAAGAATTTCCGCATATTTTTTCTGTGATGTTTCCAAAATTCTTGAAGATTTCCAGAAATGTTACTATCTGGAACGATTTAAGGATTTTCAAAGTTTCGGAAAGCTTTCCGACACAAAAATATCCTGACAGTGTTGTTTTGACTTTCTTACAATACAGAATTTCTTTAAAGTGTAAGTATTTGTTTTCTTTTATCAAAAGCAATATGTCTCCATATTCATAAAAATATATTTCGTCTCGTATTATTTTGTTCATGATTTGGAAAAAAAACGCCAACAGAATATTAATAAAAATTTGATTGATAAGATCAAATTTTTGAAATAAAGTTTCCAATAAAAACAAATAATCTTTTAAATGTTGTTCATAATTTATATTTTTAAAATATTGAAAAGTCTAAATATTTTCTCATTAAAAAGTTAACCATAACTAAAAATTATCAAAAGAAAAATCTGTTTAATTCTATGTGTACAAAAACAACTTGACACTGATTGCTTAGCTATTCTGGAAAACAATTTCCCAAATGACTACTCGTTGAAAATGAATATACGCACGATGGTCGATCGGTTCAATCATATGCCGTTTTTTAGTCTTGTAAAAGCTGATTGTTGTGTGTGTGTGTCTTAGTAATTATTCTCATGTGATTGCTCTTGCAGTCAACGACAGGGAATTCTCTCTCTACAAAGTGATTGCATTAGACTTGAGTGAACGAGAAGAAGAACAGATTACTAAACGGACTGTTGCGATCATCATCATCATCATTATTGATGAGTCCCATTGGGAGAAGACGATAAAGAGACAGAGAGAAGACACATTTTTTTTATTTCTTCTTCTCTTCATCTAAGCCGATTTGGTTGGCAAGTCGAGCTGTTTTTTACGCATCAGTAATACAACTAGCAACATAGGGTACATCATCACTAATATAGAGACCGCGCAGATTGACAAGATTATCGAATTCGATGGAATCGATTGAGAAAAATATTAACAACGACGATCTTGATCAGACAACATTAATAACAAATAATAAAAGAAAACAAGGTGAGATTTTCAAGGACATTAAGAAGGACAAAAAATTTTTTTTTTTCAAATAGAAATATAAACATTTATGAAAACATTTTTTTTTTCTTATTTCTATTATGGAAATGAGATCTATATGAAAGATACTTAGCAATCTTATCGATTCAACATTGAATAAAACACTTACAATCTGGATTAGTTCATTTTATTTTTACTAGAGAATCCATATAGAACAATTATTATAAATCGATTCATCTTATGTTTACATATGCATATAAATGTTATACAAAATAGTCAATTATTTTCATTTAATTAAAATTTTCTAAGATATTCAAATGTAAATTATTTTTAAAACTCTTTATAAATATTTCAAAACAAAAAGAATAGAAATTCCAATGAATGATTTATTTTTCATTTAATTAAAAGCTAAAATAATAATCATAATTTTGAAAAGAGAATACATTTAATAAAATTGTTTATATATTTTAGACGATGATTCAAATCAATCACGACAATTATCATCAAAAGTATTTCGATCTGAATCAGCATCATTACCATTTGGTATTGCTAATGTTCTTCAATCAACAAATGAATCATCAAAAATTTGTCAAACACCTATAACAACATCAATATTATCAGTTAATCCATGGTTAATGGCTTTACATCATCTATCACAATCATCATCAACAACAGCATTAGCAAATGCATCAAATTGGTGTGCAAAATGTTCAATACAATTTCGTCTTACAAGTGAATTAGTTCATCATATTCGTGTTCATCATGCAACACGACGTAGTTATCATCATCATCATCAAATATCTACAGAAACAATAACACCAACAAGAAAAACATTTACAAATTCAACATCATCAATGAATCTTACTTGTCATATTTGCTATGAAACATTTCGAGAACGACATCATTTAACACGTCATATGACATCACATCGTTAATATATTTTTAATTTTCAGAACGTGATGAATTTTTTTTTATGCATATATCTATCCATTCTTAGAATTCATTTTTCAATTGGTTAAGAAATCTTTTTTTCTTTTTGGATATTCTCCTTACCATCATAATTTCATGGTTAAAAATATACACGCGCTCGAATTTATTTTTTTGTGTCTTTTATTTATGAAATCTTTTATTTTGGATGTGTAGAAGAATCAATAAAAATAAAATCTAAAATATTATTATCCATTTTTTATATCTCTCTAGTCTCAATCTAGTACATGTACATTTTATTCTTACTATTGTTTAAGTAAGAAGAGCATCATTATAAAGATAAATACATGTTACTGTTCAAACTAAGATTACGTTCAATATCGAATTGGCCTAGACGAATCTAGGATTCGAGATTGAACGCTAACATATATAATATAAAGATCATTTTTAATAAAAAATGTGAAAATATTATTTGTCTTGAGGAGAAGACGAATCGATAAACTTAGTTTGATCTGTAGATGACATGTATTTAAGAAGATATGCCTAATCACGTCGTTGTCTTTGTTGACTAGCATTACTTTCTAATCGAGGTACATGAGTTCTATTAGATCATCTTCAAAAATTTGTTCTGTTCTCTTTGTAAAGATTTAGTTTCGGTTGAAGGTATTAGATGGTAGTGATAGTTGTTCAACAATATCGAAGTTTCCAAAAACTCGACCATCAGAACTTAATTGTAAACAAGGTGAAAATGAACAAGCTATTGCCCTTGTGGCTAATATATCTTAATAATAAAATAGCGCAATGTTAATATATGACAGATCAAAAGCTGGAATTAATGATGTAGTTTTCAATAGACTACTTTTTTATTATTTCGAAGATTTTGTGCTAGTATTTTTATTTGATAAAAATAAGAAAAAAAAAATTTCTTTTTGTTATATTTTAGGAAAAAATTATTTCTGTTAAACATCCAGTGACAAAGGAATTAATAACAATTCAAATGAAAGGTATAGCTACAGCTTCAGCTGAATTCTTTTATTTGGTAAACTTGATTGTTCAAAAGTGAAACATGCTTATTTATTTGTTATTTTTTTTGTTTCTTGTTTATTAGAAATAGCTAATCTGAAATTACTTGATCGATATAGATTAATGCTGTCAGGTCTAATAATAGCTAATAATGTCTATGAAGATTTGTTTGATTAATAAGAATTCTTACAAAACATTGGTTTTTTTTTGTATTTAAGTCAATGGATGATTAATGTTGATTTATCAATAAAAGTAATGAATAAACAAAATGTTTATTCAATTTTAACGAATAAACTTAATCGTTTAAATGATATTAAACAAGTTTAAGTTGTATCATTAACAGAACTTCTTGAATAAATCGTCTTCACACTGTTGATTATTTCCATTTCTTTTTTTTGAATATCGATCAGAATTTATTATGTTGTTTTACAGATATAATAATGAAACATACAAAATTTCTTGATATTGCTTAGGATAAAGATGTAAATCTTCCATATACTAAGCGTGCTCGTGGCCAACAAACTCTTATTGAATATTATTGAGAAGTGAAACTTTTTTTTTTGTATTTATGTTAATCCTTTTCTTTTATTTTGTTACTTTCAGCAACATCAAATAAAAATTAACGATGAACAACAACCATTAACTGTTGTTAAATGAAATGGCGAAATTGGTAAATGTGGTCTAAGGAAAAAAATTCAAAGGACGATCTATCTAATTTCAGAATTATGTTGTATGACAGATGAAGCTTAATTTTTTTCTTTTCTACGTTTTGTTATTGAAGTTTTTATTCTAAAGATATTTTGGATTCAATGAGACAAGCCTTTTCTTAAATGAAACAAGGATGTACGGAAGGACGTCAAGAATTAAATAAATAGTAAATTAGCCCTGATAAAGAATGTGTTGAATTAACTGGTCGTACGATCGAAGCTAAATTTAATAAATAATTAATTTAATAAGTTTTAGTGTACAACCCGATATAATTCATTAGGAGTTGATTGATCTCGTGATGGACATTCATTACCATATCTTTCAACTAAATATGTTGATAAATAGATTATTATTTATTATCAATGTGATTCACAAATTACTCATTCATTTCTTCATGTTTTTTATAAAGTGTGCAGAAACTTGTAGATTAGTTTCGTTTTTGTCTTACTTCAATTTATTGTTCATTTGTTTAGATATGGGTGTGAATTTTCCTGAAATGTAAAACCAAAAAAAAATCAGTACGATATGTGTTTTATCCTTCTATCAAAATTTAAGAATTGAATTATCAAATTGCTTGTTCAGAAATATTTATTCGAGCTATTGAAAAAAAGTACTAATCTACGAATGGATTTTGTTTGTTGTATTTTAACGAACAATCGAAAAGATAGTTTATGATACAATAAAAAAGTCTTATGCATTGATCATCCAGTTTCATCTCAAAGTATTTTTAATTAGACAGAAATTCTTCGTTTTTATTTGATTTTATTGTCAAAAATATTGATGATCATTGTTATTGATACATATCATGATTGTCGATCACGTTAATCAGAAAGGATCGATTTTGTTGCTTTGATAAATCCAATGTGTGCATGTTACTATTTACATAACATCGAAAAAACGAAATAATAAAGATTTTATTGCAAGATTAAAAGTATGTATGCAAAGCAAAATGTATCTTTTTTGTCTGTATTTTGTTTATGATAATTTTTATCAATGAATAAACAGATATTACTGATATTCAATTATTTAAGGTTATTGAAAGTGAATTATTGGCATTTAATGAACTTAGTATGAAAGTACAAGCAGATTATGAGTAAGATCTCTTATAAAGATTTGGTCTTTAGTTCGAAGTTAGCGATGATTGTTGCACAGAAGCGTGGAAATGCTCGTGTTTTTTTGCATGTGATCCGCGCAATAATCATTAATTAATAAATCTACTACCCGGTACAATTATTGACCACACAGTCACTAATTAAGGCTTGTATTATATGTTTTTTTTTAATAAATCAGTTAAATCATTTAGTTTTATAGAATGATACGATTTGTATTTGATTTTACAAATGGTTCATTAGGGAATCGTTGTTTCAACTTATTTCAATCTCATTTGGGATCAAACCACGTTTGTATAAATCATATATTACAAATCAGTTATTATTTTCTCATTAATTAATTGATTAATTTTTTCTTTTATTTCAGTTGGCCTAATGCAATCCGAGCGCTTGGTGTATACCAATACGCACATAAATTAGCTTTTCTTGTTACTCAAAGTTTTACGTAACCACATAAAAGTCTTGAAGATAAATTTTTTTTACCTGGGAAAAATAATTGTATGCTTGTTTTTAAATAAATTTGTTTCATTAATAGTACACAATGCATTGCTTCAAAAAAAAAAAGAAAATCCATCAATATTTATCTTTCAAAAAAAAACATGAAAATATTTCATCAACTTGTTGTCAATATTTGTTATTGATTGAATTCAATTTTGTTAATTATTGATCATGAGTAATCGCACCATTTAAATAATTTTGTTATGAATCATATGTTTTGTGTGGCAGAATATGAAAAAGTATAAATTTATCGGATCAAGTTAATATATTTGATATTAATAATAACTGATAGTCATTACTTATGCTGTAAACAATAATTTTTTCATTATTGAAATTTATCACATAAAGAACAAAAATTATTTATGAATCTTTTTGAGAAATAGATTATTACTCATATATATTTTGTTGTTACAAGCACTATAGAAACTTGTATTAATTAGATCATCTTTGTTGTAATCGATTCAAGATCTTATAAGATCAATAATTGATTAGCATAGTTGCATTAATTCAATCTACATTGTCTTTCGTATCAGTTCTTATTTTTCTCTTTATATATCTTAAATATTACTATAATCTTTTAGATACCACTATTGAACATATAAAAATAGAAAATCATGAAACATCATCGAAATTTGAATTGTCACGAGTAAGATAACGTATTTCGTTAATTCAATGAATGAAATTAGCGGATATTGCATATAGAATTCGTCTAAATACGTATAAATAAAAACAAGAAGGTCAATACTTGAGAAGAAAACTTTATACCAATTTTCTTGTACCAAAACATATTATTAGTCAGAAAAATCAAAGAACAGTTCAAGATATTGATTAGTACAACACGAACTTTATGCATCTATATACTATATAGTTTTACTAGTTTATATTGCTCAGAAACATAATATATTCCTATCTAGTGTGACAAGGTTGTTAAGCTGACTTTTGAAAGGCATAGAGGATTCAGTAAACGTTACGCACATATTTCATTCGATTATACTAAATGACATATAGAGAAAAAGAAAATATAGTTAATCAAGAAATTTGGTTAAATTTTTGTGCAAAAGTAATTACTTTCGAAAGCGAAAGGAACTCGATATGGAAAAGATACGAAAAGAAAAAAAAATTCTGTAATGTATGTATATTTTTTCTTATAACGAATTCATTGAAATCCTAAATAGAACAGTCTATTAAAATAAACAATTTAACATTCATATTATTGAAGAAATAGTATTCTCTCAAGCAATCAAAAGAATCATGTGGTGGTTATAAATCGACTTTCCAAAAAGCTCGCAGAATTTCATATCGATGCAGCTCAATTTTACTTATTAGTCATTTATCAGTACTATCCATTTATAGTTAGCTAAATGTTGAAATTCTTCTAAAATCGCGTAACTCATATATCAATGTGACTCGATGATACTATTTTTTTTTTCTTTATAATCGAAATACAATTGTTCTCAATTATGAAACTTCTTAAAACAATTCTTTCGAATTGTGCGACATGTAATTTATTTCAATGATGAATGAAGATATTCAATTTTCTAATGTTTTGCTTCAAGAAATTAAATAACTGACAACGTCACTCGAAACCATAAATGATTTTCTATTATCAACCTACGCCGGCACATACACTTCTACATTGATTATTTCTGCCAATTATCATCAAATTAAAC